TTGGGATCAAGTCTGATGTCCTCACTCTGACAAAATGACCTAGCCAACCTTGATCCTGATCTTCATCGATACTCGAGAACAAGGCTTTACTAGCCCGATGCGCGATCTTGATAAGTCCCCCCGAAAGAGTCGGGGACTGTATAGGCGCATGGGGTGGTCGATGGTGAACGAGCATCCATCGATCTTGCTCACAGAGAACTGAAGAAGGATCACGATCCTCTAGAAAGAAGGGTGAATTTGAATGAGGCATACCTCGTATCTTTTGCAGAAGTCTATGATGACCGGATCCAATGAACCCAACGTAAAGGGATAAGTGTAAACACTTAAGTATCCCTCGACGTGGGTGGTGATATCTTCATCGAGTGTGGGAACCACAACGTGCTTGTCAACCCAATTGCAATCCTTTTTGATCGTGGGGAGGATTTATTGAGTAATCGAGCATACGTTGTTACAGCCCAAATTCGCATACCATAGATCACGCCGTAAGTTAGTCGACGTAAATCCAAGAAGAGATTATCTTTGAGATGATAAGAAGTTAATCCTATTGGTCTTAAACGATACAAGGGTGTATAAGAGTGGTTAACAAGTATTTGAAGTTAAATAAATCAAGGATGTTGTAACCCGTATTTTCGGGTAACACTAAAGGTGATTAATTTTCCCAAGAGGTCTTGTTTTAATGTATTTGAATCATATAATATCCGCATCATAAGTCTTGAAGTCAAGCGAGTTATGAAACAAAAGTCGATAAAAGTTGTCGCAACTTAGGTTTATAATTTTACTTAAACTTTAGGTCAAATGTTACTGCATTTTTCTCCCAATGTGCTTGGAATTATGGGGTGATCTACCTATCAAATTGAAGATCTATGAGTCTAGTTTCCAACGCATTAAACCGTTCGTCGATACGATCTCGGAATAGAGAGATATTCGCGTTTTCGCGAGAGTGCGCCAAGCTGCTCTCTATGGGGCCCACAAAGGCGGTTTAAGACATATGGACATATATAAGATACCTCAACCCCGTTTTAAGTCATTATTTTTCAGTATATTCAGACCTTATAACCCTAAAAACAGTCTCTCAAGGTTCTCTCATGATCCAAGACCCAAACAAAGGGCAAACAACACAAATCAAATGTCGGGAATCCCGTGGCGCTAGTAAGTTTCTTGTTCTTCTTGTTGTTGCTGATTTTTGTGTTGTTCCAGCTCGTGTGGGAGGTTGTTTTAAGTGTTTTATGTCCTGTAAATACACCTTCAAGTTTTTAATATCAACCCTAGGTGATTTCAAGTCTTCTAAAGTAATTCTAGTGCCGAAAAACCCGAATTAATTGCTAGTTTCGCTTCCTTGTTCTTGTGGCAGAATTGAAGGGATATTTCGTGGAAAATTAAGGTCAAATTGGAGTTGTTCTTTCTGTTTAAAGGTAAGGAACCTCTTACTCTATATATATTTAAGATTATCCAAGTTGCAGCTAAGTCGTTGAAGCTAGAACTTGTGAAATATATATCGAAAGGCTTGGTAGTAATGTTGTTGGTTGGTGGACTGTTTTGGAGGCTCAATATGATTATTAATGATGTTGTTTGGGCTGTTTGGTGATTGTATTGACTTGTGGGAAGTCATATAAATAGGGGAGGTGCTGTCCGTTTCATCGTAAAATAGGTTGTGGTCGATACATAATAGTTACGACGCTTAAACGATAATGATAGTGTCATTTGTCTTATTGTAGACTAAGGAGTCGTGACATTTGCATAGCTTGAGGTTGGGCAGTATATACAAGGTATGTGAGGCTATCCCCTTCATTCTTTTGCACGACTCCGATTGTACATAATGTAATGAACGAGCTCCCAAAGATACTCTACTCTTAGAAGCTAGCAGTACTTACATTGCTGCCCTTCTTATGAAACGATTGATATTGATGTTACTTCTCTTATTCTTATATTATCAATGTTGTTGGTAGTTCCTGATTCTTATAAGTTTCTTGATGAAGAGTTAATCCTAATAACGTGTACGAAGGATACCGACCTTACGTCACTCCGAAAGGTTCAAAATGTGATTCCAATGAGTCCAGCATGCATCATATATATGTATCTATTTTACTCTACCGAGCCGCGCTATAGTCGGCCGGGTATGGCACCTATTGTGCAACCACTGATCAGTTGGGTTTTACCGAGCTCCACGTGGCCGGGTACGATTCTACCGAGCCCTATGATGGCCGGGTACATTTTACCGAGCCTATTATGGCCGGGTACGATATGATGATGGTGATGCCCACAAAGGCGTATGTTTTAAAAGTTTATGTATATATATGTATGTATCATGTATTTCATGTCAGTAGCCCTCAGAGGTACCCAGATGTCACAGGTTGTATATTCTCTATCCATGTTTACATTACTGTTCTTACTTATGCTTTCTTGCCTCACATACTCAGTACTTTATTCGTACTGACGTCCTTTTTATTTGTGGACGCTGCATGTCGTGCTGCAGGTCCTGATAGACAGGTAGACGTAGCTCCCCCACCACAGTAGGCTGTCCAGTTCAGCGGTTATTGGCGAGATCCCTTCTCCGGACTTGCCGTGGTCTTGGTATGCATTTTTGTTATAGACATTATGGGTATGTCGGGGCCCTGTTCCGGCAATGTTGTAGCACTTATGTTCCTTTAGAGGCTCATAGACAGGTGTCGACTTATGTATGGTTTAGAATGCCTTTTCGGCTGATTTTTGTTGTATAGTCTTTCATGGCATCATGATAGCTCGTACCTTATATATAGTTTCTTGACAGTCTTGTCGTCCCATGTTATGTATGTTCATGACATTATCTTTCATTGTTGGATGTTCATGATCCATGTCTACTATTTATATTGATCTTGTCGGCCCTTAAAGATAATAAGGAAGGTTAGATAAAATGTACGTTGGTGCTCGGCAAGTATGGCCAGGGTGCTAGTCATGACCCTCCAGTTGGGTCGTGACATACGTATCTCGAGACCTCCTCACACCGGCTTGGTACGGAGGAAGGTTTTTCAACCTTGAAATAGACGGTTACTGAGCATCCACCAGGGATGAACGTGTTCAAGGGGGGTTCCGCTACTGGTTCCTCGACAACGGTACGCGAAACGGTCTCCTAGACAACCGCCCGTGATGTAGAAGAAGTTTCTTTTTGGGGAACTGTTTTTGAAGTCTTCGCCATTTCTTTTAAAATGGAGGGGAAAAAAGGAAAAAGAGGAAGTTAAAGGAGTACACTTGATGGTTTGGGATGAAGACGAGCAAAAGTTCTCACAAAAGATCTCACAAGACGCCAAAAAGTATAGAGATTGCTAAGGAACAAAGGTAGAGGGTTTGGATGTAAAGTTTGAATGAATAAAGAAAGGGGTACTTATAGTTTTCAAACAACGGTTCGCATCCAGGAGTGGCCGACCGGCAACTGACAAGCATTTAATACCATTAATACTTGACTGATGTGATGTTTCATTTATTTTGTCGTTTCTGTCGCGGGGTATCGAAGTGAGAATCAGAAGCTCATATCGTTTTTCGTCGTCTACACTCCAAAAATGAGGGGACTATCTGTATACGGTCGAAATCGGACTCGTCTATGACATGGTAGATCGGGGCTCGGAACATGAGGGACTAAAGATCGACCCCAAGTCCCTCTGGACCAAAACCCGAGGTCAGAATGTTTGTCTTCGAGAACATTGAGTCTGTGATCCCGGAATCGACCCTCACCCCGAACGAGCTCGAAGAAACATTGTTAGCATAACCAACAGAAGACCAAAATATCTGTGACCGATCGGATATTACGACGGGAGTCTCGACACGTATCAATAAGGAATCGGCAATCAGCAAATCAAGAGATTTTTACCGTTTATAGAATTGTACCTAAAGTAAGACTCTCCTACTATATAAAAAGGGGTCTGATAATTCGTTTAAGACATTGTAACACACATTTCAAAACAATACATTATTTTTCTCTTTAAGTTCTTATTTGAGCTATATCTTGATACCGATCGTAGTGCATCCAGTTCGAGGGTGGCTGACCTCCCAAGACTGTAACTGTTCAATTCGTGTGGTTTGAATTTACTTTATCATTGTTTATTTCAATTGCAATTTAATTTATCGTTTTGTGTCAAGTTAATTCACATATACTCAAAATCACTTACAAATTTAATTGTTATCCGATTTTGAGGGTAATGAGTTTTATTTTGCATATCTTGAGTTTATTTTATTTGAGTTGTTGAATTAATACCATTATATTTGAGTTGTTAAAATATAATTTTAACGAGGCCGAAAAAACTTCAAAAGCAAAAGTGACACATGTCGTCTCATTTGAGACCTTTAAACCAGATGCGGGCCTCCAACAAAAACCTAATCCCTCAGAACAAAAGGACTTCTCATAAATTCCGGGTAGGCTGTAGCGCTTTGTGATCCGAATTGGGTGATTATAGGGTTTGCCAAGAGAAGTGACATGATTCGTGAACCGCCGCCACCGACAATACCTCAGAACGTTACTTCCTCGTCAGTAGCAGGGGTTCGTAGCGGAGATTTCTCTGACGCTACGGAGACCCCGCCAGAGAAGAAACAGAAACTTGGTGAAGAGGTCGATTGCAAGACTTCGACTTCCGCCGGTGATGAGGATGGTANTAACTTGTCACAAGAACAAAGTGGTTGCAATAGGTGATTTCTATCTCTTCTTATAAGGAAATAAAGGTGATTTTTATGTCTCATTTGTTGCGTGTACTTTGTTAGGGATTTGATATTAAAGACTATCCAGGACCTAGCCTGATGGTTACAGTTTTCCCAATGCCGTACTACTTGACCGATCCTGAGAATCTCGTCATGTTGAAGGGTTATGCGGAAAAGGCACTTAAGAAATACAATGATACTAATGTAAGCTCGAGCCACACTTTCATTTGTCTTGTCAGCTCTTTTTTCCTTTTTTTTCTTCTTGGTAACTAAGAAATTTACCTTTGTACTGGTTTTAGAGCACCTGTTGGGAGGTTGATGATATTTTGAAGGTGAATGGAGAGGGCGGTCGTAGCTTCATTTTCTATATTACCCTTTCGGTCAAGACACAAAAAGGGGAAAAGGACTATTTTCAAGCTAAGGTGGTGAGAGATTTAGATGGTCATTTGGACTTTCCTATCGTCAGGCCCCAGGTATAGGTTCTTATGAGATCTGTTAGACTATTCTTATGTTTCTTCTGATGTTTAAACATGTTGATATATCTTTCTAATGTTTTAACGTGTTTATTCTTGAGTCTCCAAGTCCTTACCTACAAATAATAACTAAGATCCACCATGAGTGCCAAGTAATGAAGCTGCAACATAGACTAAGTGTGAACAAATGAGCATCCTTTAGGAACCAACTTGTGACAATTGATGTGATATAGTTGCTATGTGCTCTTTTAGGGAGAATTTAGAAAGAGAAACATTCCCTTAACCGTGACTTCCATTCATCAGTTCCCATATCTCTTCCATGCTCCGAAAATAACCATTTTTGTAAGAATTGCATTTGGTCATCTGATAACTTAACCTTAGCATATGCCGACTTTAAAGACGATTGAATTGAATTAAAGCTTTTGGAAGTGAAGGATGGGGAAAGCTTTTTTTCTTGCTAGAAGTAAGTCCGTTGTACCGATAGAAAACAAGAATGAGGAATTTGAATTAGGCTCCCCCCCGGGTCCACCTGGTTCCGCTACAATCAATCTGAACCCCCTTGTCTCTGTTATCACATTATCATTCCTAATTTAAACTTATAAGTTTAGTCTATACCATCTCCGTTGCCCCCGGAATTTGACTCTTTTCTATCCCCTTCTCCTGTCAGGAGAAATTTGCTTTTCTTCTGTGCTCTTTAACTTGACACAGCAGGCTGTCACTAAATCCTTTTCTCTTTCCACTTTCAAAAGATTAGATGTCCTGATCTTCAAAAGTTCATGATCAAGTCTGTTATTTATTGTCGGGCACATGGGGTTGGGCTCAATGAAGAGAAGCTAGAGGAAATGAGTATAGAGTGAAAGTTCTTGGAATTGTCTGAATCACAGCTAGGCATATATTGTGTGATAACGAAATTGAGAGTTATCTCTCTACTAGACGATTTTCAAAATCTATGTGATCTGAATTTTGGTGATTAAATTCATTTGTATGCATAATTATTCCTTGATCTGAAGTTGTGCTGATGAATTTCATTTATATGCATAATTGTTCCCTGATATTTGGTTATGTAATATCCTTCAATTGCATTGAGTTTTTATTATATAACTACATGTCAATTTGGGGTCTGATTTGTATTTTCTAATAATTCTTTATATCTGAATCTCTTGATTTTTGGTCAGATTGTTACAATTTTCTGGGATCCTTCAATTTGAAACCTTTAAATGAAACCACAGATTTTAGATTATGAGAACGAATTTGAAAACAATGAGTAATTTGATATTTTATTTTACAAACTTGTTAACTACCCATCAATATTACTAAATTTTGGAGAATCATATAAGCCTTTGATTCAGTAGCGGAAGCCAAGTTTTATGGGCAGAAACCGTGATCAACACCAGCTTTCAGCATTTTCGCACCCCAAATGCCGTAGCTCACACCTTTTAAAGTATGATTTGTACACCTTTCACAGGATGAATGCTCCATGTTGCTTTGTCGTGATTATGTTATTGCATGCAGGTCTATAATTGGCTCATGATTTTTTTGTTTTGTTTGTGGAAAGCTGCAAATACATGGAATGGGGGAAAACTAATTAGATCAGCACTACCCTACTATCTCGTTAATTATAGTTATAATTATTTTTCCTTATTGAAACATCTTCCACGGACAAGGATGATGCAGAGATGAACATGGAAAATGTTTTAGAAAACCTGATTTACCTTAGTGTCTTGGATATGATTCGTGTTGTGCCCTTAGAAGAATTACCATCTCCCATTGTGCTGATGGAATTGTCAAATTTTAGCATTTAATTCTCTCTTATGCAATTAATATATGCAGCCAAAGAAAGATTCGGATATGCAGTGATCTGATCGAACATCCTTTTGGTACTAAGCTTTGGGCTTTATGTTAACATTTCGTGAGGCTCATTGAACATGGTTACTAGCTCCTTGAATTTATGCTATTTAAGTTCTCTTGTACTTTTTTTTTGTTGGACATGTAAAAGTAGTAGAAAAACCAGAGTATCTGACTTCTTCATTTAAGAGGAAAGAGCTGCTTGTCTTCTCTTTTCTTTATTATATATATTTGATGTTGAGGCTAAGGAAAATTTAGTGTCCTTTGCATTGATTGATTCTTGGGTAGCTACATTTTCCTAGCAAAAATAAGAGATCTATCTCGTGCCTGCTTAAAGGTGAGAACTTGACCATATATACTGTGTACAGAACAGCAGAAACATTAGATCGCTAATTCTATTATGTAATTATTTTATCTTTGCCCTAAAATGCAGGAATGAGTGTCTTAAAATGAGTAGCTTCTTAATGGAAAACTAAAAAGTTACTAGGAAGTGTAAATCCTAGAAATGTAGTTAAGCTGAATAAATAAGAATCGTCCAATTTTTAAAGTGTACTTGCTGTTGAAATGGGAACACGGATTAATATACTCTGGTAAAGGGCAAACAAGCATAAACGCGATTATGTACATCCTTGGGTAGGAATGTCGATGGTCCAATTCGGTGGAATATTTCAAAAAAGTATACTATCATTTAGCAACACTTTATTAAATGATTTTGTTTTTTCAAAAATTAATAAATTGGAAAATTTTGGAAATAACGGTGTTTTTGTTGCATTTAGTAACGCAAAGCAAATAAAATTGGGGTATTAATACTTTTAGACTACGTCAGAAATTATTTACATATGATAGCCAAAAAAATATATAAAACTTGTATAATATTTGTATATAACATATAGAATGTATATATATAGATAAAAAATATATAAATTTTATACATTTTGTTGGCTATTATTTTTATAGAGGCTATACAATGTCATTTTTTCAATAAAATTTTAAAAATAAAAAGCTAAAAAACAACAACAAATTCAGTATATTCCACAAGTGGGATCTGGAAAAAAAAAGTTAAAAACAAATTAAGAAAATAACATTTTGTTGTACAATTTGATAGATAATTTGTTTAAGCAAATAAAAAAATTAGAAATATTAAAGGTTTTATTGCATTTATCGCTTTGGATAGTTTGAGCATGTTTGGAAAGTCAACTTGAAATTGAATATGTGTGTAATTGTCTGTAATCACACATTTTGACAAATTGGGTGTAATTGCGAATGTGTGGCAGTTACACTATGTAATAAGAAGTTAAGATAACCAATTCATTCTATTTTATTTTTCTTTTGTCAAACATATTATTATTCTTTTTACACTATTTTTCTTCTATTTCTCTAATTTGTATTTTTCAACCTTTCAACATGTTGCTTATGATATGCTTTCATATAGTTTTGCGACTTCTTAATTTTTATTTTTACTTTGCATAGTTGTTGAACACAATTTTATATTTTACTAGCTTTTTTTATTCATTAGTATAGATATTTATTAAGAAAATATATATTCTAAACATATATTTTTCATTTTGTTACGTAAATAAATAGGTCAATTTAATTACTATATTATGTAATTAAGCACCACAAAGAGTGGGTTGCTCCAGTGGGAGCACCCTCCACTTCCAACCAAGAGGAAATGATGTCGCTAATCGCGAATTATCCAAACTCCCGGTTCTTCGTCAAGATTTTCAGCTAAACCCTGATTCACTAAACCCCGAAATATTCTGGTATGGATGGTAACAGCGATGGACTGCAGGAACTGGGACGAAGAGTTCCATCGAATATAACATAAATGAAGTTTAACATATGTTTTGCGTAGGGCAGGAGACATCTCTTTTTCTTCTTTGCTTTCATGTTTGGTTGAATTTGTGTCGATCTCTAGTATGCAAGGTTAATTTTGTAATACTTGTTACTACCTAAAGAATGCCATTATATCTTCTGAAATTATGTCTTAAGAGGTGGTTTGGTTGGGAAATAAGTTATCACATGATTAATTATCCCGGAATTAGTTATTCCGGGATTAATTATCCCACCTTCCCATAGGATAGAAAAAATACTACAATCCCGGGATAACTAATCCTGGGATTAGCTATACCACGATTTTATCCCAACCAAACGGGGATAAACTCATCTCAATTTTAATCTCGGGATTAGTTATCCCTTATTCCTCGTACCAAACGAGAAAGTTATTGAAGTGGGAATAATTGACACATCTAATAGACTTTTTGCTGTCTGATTGAAGGACACTTAGTGTTCAGTATCAAGGACATGACTTGCGACACCATCTGGTTGGACTGGAGTTCGTTCCAATTGTTTTTTTTAAGACTACGTGTCTGACATGAGTACAAAAAAATATGCAAGCATATATTTGTGCCCATGCAGGAATCTAGGTTGTGGTTGTATGTGATTTTCTTAATGCCTACAAAAAGGTCTTAAGGCAGAGGTCTCCGGGAAAAATGTCTTGAGTATTCTTTTTATCGATAAAAATTAGTTTTAGAGAAAAAATAGGAAAAAGAGATGAAAAAAGGAGTTGACATACCAGTGCCAAACTGGCACAAATTATGTTAATTGAATGACAAAGAAGTGAGGAAAGACACTTCCCCACCACCTGAAAAACTGGTAGATACTAGTCTTCAAATGTTCTTGCCTTTTTTTTTTTTTGGAATGTAATTTTGTTCTGTGTCTTTCTAACTCTCACACTTGAAGCATGGTCCTGTTTGGTTCCCACATTATGTATGTTGTGTGCCTCTGAGATACTAGCTTAGCCATAGACCAAAATTTATTGAATTAACACCCTTTTTCTGTATGTGGCAGTCATATGAATTCCTTGAGGTGAATGCATTATGCTACTTTTACCCTACATTTGAATGCCCATAAGCAGTCTGTCGTGAGTTTACTCGTTGATGTAACTTGATATTAGTTTGTTCGAGAATTCAGCAATGAGTTGGATTTTTGCTACTTCCATTTGATGTAAAGAAGAAAGGATAGTCTTCTCTGCTTATTTTTCCTCTTGTTATCACTATATATGAGGCACATCAGAGCCAATGCGTGACTTGGTGAATCCTCAACAAAAGTAAGTTACTGAAAAACGTAAAATAATTTCATTATAATTTTTTTTTATTACCTCTTCTGAGACCGTTGGCATCACTAGTAGGTGCTGGTATTGTATGCTTAGCAATTGATGTGCAACTAAAGATTAGTTGTTCAGGAGTTTAAACATTTTGTTGCAACCTTCCTGCTTACTTGATGGTTTACTGATATTCTCGTTAGCATACTTAGTGCTTAAGAAGATTCCTCAACGCTTTTGTTAGGTCTATTATTTTTCTGGGATGGGTGGGGGGAGTTAATAAATAAATTGCAATCAAAGTTTTACATCCACTGTTAATTCAACACTAGTTTAGTCTTTAGATGACTTGTTATCTTGGCCTTATATCTGAAAATTAGTTATTGCTTACAACAGTGAAGGGTTCACTTATTGCATCTTTTCTTATACTTTATACTATTATTACTTTTCTGTTCTAACCATGTTCTCATATCTCAAAGGTCATTGGGGTGCACTTTCTCCAATTCCAAAGAATAATTGCATGGCCATTAATACTCAGGTTTGTTGCCCTTTAATTTTCTTTTAAATCAACTGAGTGGCTTCTTGATTGACACTTTGGAGTGAGTGGATAGGACTATAAGTCTGATTTCAGTTGATGCATTAGCTGGTCCAGCCAGGACATAGGAGGTATAAATAGATTGTGGTTTAGTTATCTTTTCTTAGTTAGATGCTTGTTTAGATACTGATAGGCAAACCAGTTCTTTTACTACAGACGCTCTTAGTTATGAAGGAATGTTTTGGGTCCTTCTCTAGATTATGATGGTAGTTGAAACCTATGTATTGTGCAGCAATAAGGCAATATTTCATTTCGTTTCCTTCTTACGAAGAAGAGAGTGGAGAGTGGTGCTGGAAGCTATTATTTTTTTTCAAATTGTGCAATCTACTAGAAGTGCTAAATTTGTGGATGAACTACAAAAGAACTTCATAGTAGCAGACAATTTGTCTTGTTCATTAGATTCTTTGGTGCACTGCTTTTGGGGGATGGCCAGTCTTCTTTTGTACATTAGACCTACTCTATTTCGATATATTGTTTTGTGTATTTGATTTTTGAATACCAAATTTGGAGAAGGATTCCTGGAACAACCCTAGGAGATGATAGGGAGAGAAGAATCAAGTGACTACCGAGGGATTCATGTTGAGTGGACTTCGGGGTTCTGGTACCATCGCTAGAGCTGTTAGTTCAAAGCGTCGAACATTGTTAACTCTGTTCATTTATATTGCATGGATTCTTCTCTTGCGTAGGTCAAGTCTGATATTCTGATTCAACCTTTTAAAACTTACCTCAAAGTTGTCCTGTCTACATATTTTTATTTAATATTTTGTGTTCCATTGTAGATTGTATCCATTTTTGCTGCTGCTGGTGATTCTTGTGCATACTGCTGGGATGTGGTATGTATTTGTTCGAGGTGTATGGTTGGCTCATATTATGATATCTCTTAATTGATTCGTTCTTTTGGCTCACTTCATCGACTATACTTCGATTCTCTTCATTGCTTCTTCTAAATCTGTCATGAAAACCTGATTAAAGCTATGGTGCTTAGGAGAAGAATGAAATAAAGATGGTTTTGAAAGGGCATTCAGACTACTTGCATTGCATTGTTGAGCGAAATTCTCACAATCAGGTAAAGCTTCTGTTTGTCTCTCATTCTCTCACCCATATACATACACATACTCTCTCTATCTCTCTCTCTCTCTCTCTCTCTCTCTCTCTCTCTCTCTCTCTCTGTATAGTCATTCCCATTTCCATTTTATGGACTCCATGTACCAAATGCTTATGGTGCTGGCTAGTTCTCCTTCCCTCTATGCCAAGATTTGATTTCTCCCATTTGAAGAGATTTTGTTAGGGATAGGAGTGTGTGATACCCATGTTGTTGGCTCTTCACTTTGAGGTTAAAACTAAACTTGGCATATGAGCTGGAAAAAATCATGTTCCTTGAAAATTTTAATTGTTCAAAATTCTTTTAGTGCAACAGCACCTTCATGTTTTGTTCTCTTTGGAAATCGAATATATTTTTAGACTTGTATTTTTATTTTTCTTCTTCTCTCAGTCTTAGTGGGAGGGGTGGCTTACTTTTAGTTGAGCAATGGTTCCTGGAATTTTGGCTGAATTCTAATTCTGCCTTGTTTCTTTTTGCTTCTCTCTTTCTCTCGCTCGGCAATTTTCAGGTTATAACTGGTTCAGAGGATGGGACAGTACGAATATGGGGTATGTCAGAGGAGCATAAGTCCTGCCACGGGGACATTTCGTTTTTTTATAAAAATAAGAGAGCGTAAGGCCTGATGAATGGCCAATTTTGCCTTTTATTGGCTTGAGCTATCTCTCTTAGTTGGAAATTACACATGATTTTGCTCATTTGGATCTATTTTTTCTGTTTTATTATTCTCTGTTATTTATGAATTTCCTTAGATTGCAGAACTGGTAAATATATTCAAATAATTGATCCACAGAAGGATAAGAAGTCGAGGGAGTTGTTTCCATATGTCAGTTGCATTGCTCTTGATGCAAGTGAGAGTTGGCTGGTAAGAGTTCAGATTCCTTTATACCCCAAACTAGCGTTCTCGTAAGTTTGCTACTGCACCCAGAAGCGGACCCAGGATTTGAGCGCAGCGGGGACACCGAATAATTGTTCATAAATTTAGAAAAGATAAAGAAAAAAAAAAAACCAAGTTAAGCACTAAATACAGGATACTATTTTATCTTGAATTCAAAGAGAAAAAAAATAAAATGAAATAAAGGGCTAGTATTGGGTTATGAACCCATGTCACATAGTTAGTAAGGCAATAAATGTCGCATGCTCAACCAGCAGAGCAATCCATCTTTTTGTTTGAGGGGGCACATCAAAATTATTTAAGGGGTCCTTGTCGTATATCCAAATATATATACACGGTTCTTTTCGAGGCTAGCAGGTTCCGGTGACCCCCCTACGCCCCATATAGGTCCGCCTCTGACTGCACCAACAAACTGCACCAACAATTATAATTGTTGTTTGGTTAGAGCTTTTATACTGCAATTCTTTATGTTGTATTTACCGATAAAAAATTCTATCTGTTGCATTGTGAAATTACTGAAGCTTACTTTTGCTAATGTTATTGAGGGTCAACCTACTGTATAGTTATAATAATCTTGTCAATGATAACTGGGTTTACTTGAAGATGATAATAAGATATAAAAAGGGTAGCCCGATGCACAAAGTATCCCGCATTTATGCAGATATGAATCTCCTATTTTCTCAGTGTTTTCGAAGTGTGAAGGTAAGTTTTGGTTTGAATTGATAATTTATTTGGTGAATTTGGTTTAGTTCGTTGGTGCCAGTGGCTGAATCTAGTTGGCTGGTACAAGGACATGATGGGCCTGCTTATGATGTTAAATTTTATGGCAACGATGAGGATTCACTGTTATTGAGGTATTTGTTCTTATAAAAATTTTGGTTCTTATGTATTCGTTAAAATTGTAGGTGAGTTAGCACAAATGTAAGATTGTTCAAGTTTTTGTTTAGAGTGAAAACTGAAAACTATGGGCTTATATTTCTTCAAGCAATTGAAATGCAGGCAGATATCTATTAAATTAACTAAGTTGTCAAACAACTAGGTTAACTGATTTTCTTTTTAATTAGTATACGTAAACAAGGGAAGCAATTATCTTGTGTACTTATCACAAAAAAAGAAAAAGAAAGAAGAAGCAAATATCTTGTATAAATTTTTTCAATCAGTGGGATTGTGTTGACTATTCGTAGGTATTGTAGTTGACTGACGGATCCTCTAACATCTACTTTAAATATTTGAAAACCTTTGCTTGGCATTGCTTTCATTTCTAATACACGACTCTTTTTATTTAGACACGCAAGAAGCATCGATTCTTAAATTTGAATATGGGCAATGCTGAAAGTCATTCAGCTTAATAATCTGTTT